AGGAGCCCCGCTTGAGTACCAACCATCGTTTAGGGGTCCTGGTGCAAGGCCTGGGCCATGAGGTCCTCCTAGTGAGTTCGGTGACAAGGGGGGATGTCTATGCCTGCACCTCGTCATGGGCCAGAGGGGGAACARCATCTTGGTAGGAGCGTCGGGGATCACTTGCAGTCCCTCGACATCAAAATCTGGCAGCACCAGTAGGAGTGCCTTCTTAGTGTTCTCTATGCCGTTGAGGTAAGATGATGAAGCGTACTCCACCAACGTGTCCAAGTAGTTGGAAGACTTCTTGTACGTCTCCACTGCCTCGACTGCAATCTTCTTTGACTTCTCTGTCGAAGCTAGGGCTTCAGCAACCTTCGCCTCTGCCTCGATAGCTCTCTTTAGGGCTTCAGTAGCCCTCTTCTCGGCCTCTATAACTCATCTCTCCGCCTCCATGTCAATGCTCTCCAGCCTTACCAGCTCCACTTGCTCTTTGGAGAGCCCTTGCCGCACCTCCTGCAACTGGACTTCGAGGCAGTCCCGAAGCGATTGTTCATCCAGAAGCACATTGCGGAACTTTTGGTGCTTCTCCTCGGTAGTGGCAATTACCTTCTGGAGCTTCTCCTCTGCGGCCTTCTTCTCCTTCTCGGCCTTGTCGACGTGGCCCATGGCCAGCCTTGTTCGGTCCCCCAAGCTGGCGAAGTGTAGACAGACCTGCCACAAAACCGATAAGCGAAAACAAAAAATAAATAAAATGAACATACACATGGTGAAGCATTGAACAACGTCTTACCTCGGCCAAGTGGTACATGCCCTCGTCGTAGATATCCTTGGGGTCGCTTTGTAGAAGGCGGTAGCGATCCCTTGGCAGAATGGACCCGTTGACCAGCTCCTAGCTGACCCCCTCATCGCAGATGGAGTCCCCCTCTCGGAGCTACCATTGGGGGCGAAAAGCTTTGCCAACCCCTTCTGTCCTCTCGGAGGCACCCTGTACTGATGGGGGGGCTGACGAAGGCCCAAGCGGGCGCTCCCAAGTCACGGACCTCCTCACCACCTCCTCGGCCTGCCTATCTATGTTGGCAAGCTTCCGCGGGGGCTCCTCCCTCGACGCGTCTCCGATAGGCCTCTTCTTTCCTGCCTCGGGCCCCTTTGTGGTCCTCTTTGACGCCTCTTCTCGAGTGGTGGGCTTCTTAGGCGCTTCGCCCCTGGTGGTGGGCTTCTTCGGCGCCTCCATCATCCTCTTCAGTGCCACCACAGTTTGCTTCCCCTTGGAGGGTACCAGTAAATCCCCCCCTTTCCCGGGGCAAGGGCAATCTCGTCGCCAGGCCTTTTCAGCGTCTGTCCACCGGACTGCTTTGCCTGGGCCTTTGCCAACAAGTGCTCCTTGACGTCCACCGGAACTTCTATGAAACAACAAAAGAAAGTAGTTAGCACATCGACAAAAGGAAAGATAAAAGAACGTGGAAGAGGCACTAACTACAAAACCTCTCCTACCAGGGGGGCTGGGCTAATCCCAGCGAAGACTAGGGGGACCTCCTCCTCCATCAATGGCTTCGCTTGGAATGTCCCCATCACAAGTGGATGAGCTATTGCCGCAGCCTCTTCGTCACGGAGCAATGGGGGACATCTCTCGACGATGACRCGGGCCTCCCTCCAGTCGGACCTGAAGCGCCAGCCCCCGGGGCAAGAGATGTAGAAAAACTTGTCCTTSCACCCATGAACGGAAAAGGGGTTGTGCATTGGCTTCCCTCTCCTTGGGTGGAAGTAGTACATGTCGGCCTCAGAAGCATGCTTCCTTAGCATGAACATGGCACGRAATAGTTTGAACATCAACTCCATGCCCCTGAGCCGAGCCCACACCATGATAGCCACGATGGTCCGGAGGGCGTTAGGTACGAGCTGGCTGATGGTAATGCCATACAACGCCAGCAGCTCGAAAGTCAAGGTTGGGAGGGGAAACCTAAGGCCAAACTCTAAAAAATGCTGGTAGATGCAGATTTCCCCCTCCTCGAGGGTCCACGACCTATCGCCCATGTTGGGGACCCTCAGGCTGTAGGATCGAGGTATATGGAACCTCTTCGCTAGGGATTTGACCTAGCACACGTCCAAGGAGCTATCAAACTCCGAACATGGGATGCCAGCATCAGCCACCCTTCGGGCAGCACTCCTCCCTACTGGTCTGGCGACGAGTTCCGCGGCATCACCCTCGGAGAGAGGAGGTCCCTCAGGCTCCCTTGGCGACGCCGAGGTGGCGATTTCATGAGGAGAGTCACGTCCCCGGCGACAGCCTTCAGCACCCCCCAAGGTAAGCCTCTCCCTCAAAACGGCCACCTCCCGTCGATTGAGGATTGCAGCTAAGGAACTTAGAGAAGATAAGGGAGAGGGGGTTGCGGGAGAGCTCCCTCCCGAGATGTTCGGGAGTTCATGGCACTCGGGACTAGAGTCTGAAAACGGTATCGTGAGATTATTTAAAAAGGATGGAGTGTCCTAAAGAAAGAAAGGGGAAAAAGAGTTCTGGAGACTTTGGAGTTAGGGAGCTGCGTTCACCTGAGAGCAAGGGCGTCTAAGTCCAGATAGAGAAGAAAGGCACCGCCAAGGCCCCTATTTAAAGGAAAATGAACGGCCAAGATTTCTCCAAATCTGATGGCTAAAACTAATCCTGTCCCGCCATCCAACCGCGGTGCTCCACCTAGTGCAGTTCCTTGGAAGACGAAATGACACCCAAGGCAACGGTTCAGATCAACGCAAATCCAACGGATGTTGGATCCCCCTAGAGCAAGCCCTTGGAAGACGAAAGGACACTCAAAGCAATGACTCAGATCGATGCAAATGCAACGGACGCGGGAGTCCCCCGCTCCTGCGAACCTGTCTCACCGTTCCTCCTAGCGCATCCCCTCGGAAGGCGAAATGGCGTCGGGTGAACTGCAAAGACCGCCCATAGCAACCTGCCGAGCGAACCGAAAGACTCGCTTGCCGCGAACCACCAGACGGACAGTTCAATCTAGCAAACATAGGATTCCTGGGGYGTCCATCTGCATGGTAGCCCCGATAAGGTGGCTCGCCTGTGCGAGATACGGTACACCCCTCGCTAGGCCAAGGCATCCGCGTCGTTCGCGCTTTCGAACCGAAGAGTGATGACACGAACAGTGAAAACGACGCCACTGCAGGGCATCCCTCAGTTGACGATTCCGAAGGCATTACGACCGCTACTCCCAATGATCGAAGCCGAAGCCTCACTTCGATGACCACCCTTATTACGGGTAAAAGTCGAGGCCTCACTTCGGTCTTGGGAGTGGGGGGCAAGTGATGTGGGTTAGATTGACCTAGCCCACTAATGCCTGTTAACGTCAGCCACAGTAGGCGAAAGCCCCATTGCAAGTACTGTGAGGTGGGTGTGAGAGGATTTTAAGAGGAAGAAATTCGAATTTAGCAAATACAACCCTATCCAATCTATTGGATTTTAGATGGCCATGTACATGATGTCAGCTGTCAACTGATTAATTTGTAAGATCTCATCTCGTGTACTTGTCATTGGGAGATGTTCCTAACATATGATTGGGGCGTGTTGTGGGGTGCACCTTATGGGGCGTGCCGATGTAAACTCCATGGATGGTTGTAGCTGAAACATTGGAATCAAATCTTGCCGGAACCAAGGTTGGGAGGTTATGTATTTGGCTAATGGCTAGACCCGTTGTGTGCCCTATCCCGATAGATTGTAGAGTTATGTGAATCSCAAAATATGGAGTTGGAATCTCCAGCTAACAAAACATGTTTCAACATCCTATTGGTAGATCGGACACGGCACATCTCATTGTAAGATTAGGACCCACCATATATAAGATGTGTGGTGTCGGATCATATTGATTGGGTATTGAAACGTAATACGTTGGTAGGTGATTCGGACTAATTTATCTGCTTAGTTTGTTTTTTATATTTTAAAAATAATTAAAAAGAGTAAATGCCATATAGGACTTTCAATAATGTTTTAAAAAACCAATGCAGCTTTAATTGACTAACATGGATATGCCCCCATCAATTTTATAAAAATGAAATTATTATCCTGACACTAGGTTTCAGTGCCACATGTAGGATTTTCAATGTGTCTGATATACTTAAATCCAATCTTAAAATGTATCAACAAAATTTGTCCATCGTTTGAGATCTAAATTCTACTCAACAGAATTAGTTCTGGATTATGACCCGATCCATATCTACTATGGSCCCATACGGTTTATTCAGTGTGATCCGTCCTCATGATGAGTCATGATCATGAGAATAATAACAAAAACGAAAAACCCAAGACGATACATGGATATTGGGAGTGTCAAAAAGTCAACTTAAAATAATGGATGATCTAAAAATTTGGTTGGTCCCGTTTCCGAAAGGATAAATGGATAAGATAGTTAAATATCATCTGATAATACTTTAACGAGGCTATAAAATAAGGGTCCGAGTTTTATAAGAATCCGGATCATCTGCCAATAGAATATATTCCAACACTCTATCAACATTATCTGACACGGCACATCTTCTCAGTCTTAAGGTGAAATGTGCGGTATCAGATCATATTGATAGGGGGTTAGAATATGTTTTATTGGCAGGAGATTCTAATTCGTTTTATAATGAATCGTAATATGTGGTGCGATGTGCGATGCCAGATCATGTTGGAAGGAATTGGAACGTTGTTTATTCGCAGGAGATCCCAACTCCTCACATAACCAATGAAAATCCTTACCATTGCATATGAACACGTGGCAAATTATTTAATGCGCAAACAATAGCCAATAATGCCGTCGTTTCCTCCTCTGGATTGAATTCAATCTGTCCCCGTAGAATGCGCCGAAAACGTCCAACATCACATTCCTACCGTGTTTTAGGAACATCTCTCAATAACAAAAACAGGAGATATTGTCAATGCACGCTGAGATGAGCATGTGGGGCCTTTTTGAGGCGCATTTTGTGGGGAGACAGATGTGAAGTCCTCTGGATTACAATAACATGACGGTTCAGAAAGACAGCCTATTACACTTAAGACGCAGAAGCACGACTCTTCAGCTCCCTTTTCTTCTCTCTGTTTGTTTTTATACGAACTTATATATACGATGAATTTATGATTGTTTCTAATGATAAGATCAGACATTGAATGTTGAAAGATGTGTTTCGGGCATTTAATCACCAACCCAAAACCATCTCCAACACCGATACTACCTTCTCCTGCTATTCATTTCCGAGATTGTCGCAAGTTTGGATTCACCTCAAGACGCTCCTCACTACCCAAATTGCGTTTCAAGTTTGTCGTCCAAGCTCTCGGCGATAGATGGAAATTAACCGATATCGATAGAAGTTAGTCTTCTCCTTTTTCCTGCTTTCAAGTTTCTTCAACTATTTAATGCTGGCATTCCTTCTCAATTGATGCTAATTTGGACTTTTATTTTATATGTGTATTTCTCTTTGGTGTGGTGTTTATCCATTGTTACTTCAAGAATGATGTGAAGCATGTTGTTGGGGTTTGATTTAGGGGTTTCCATGAGAGTTTACTGTTATGGAAGGAAGTCATGTTGCACYGGAATTTCCAGATCATGGATTCTTGGAACAACATTTTGAGGGATTGTTAAAAAAGTTGGTTTGCTTGTAAAAAAACAAAATCTTGTTGGGAGGAGGATCACTTTGATTGAATCTACTTTTAACATATGCTAAAGTTTACTATTTTTTCTTTTCATAGAACCCCTATTAAGTTCATCAAGGGAGTTGTGTTCTGAAAATTAAGAGTTTTTTCGGTGTGCCTGCGGGAGATGGGAGACTATGGAGGAGAACCTTAACAACTGGATAAGAGTTGGTAGAGGGAGAATGATCGATTAGTATTTTAGGATGAACTGTAGGAACACTTCTTTCCTTGGAATTTGGTCATGGAGATCAATGGAATAGTTTTTTTACTTCTATGGTTCTGCCTATATATACTATATATGCTTTGTTAAATAGAAAGAAAAAATATTCTAATGCATCCAAYTCATTCATGCTTAGTTAATGGAATATATGAGTTAGCACTCTTAATGTAGACACCTATAGTTATATCCTGTTCAGTTTGCATGGCTAGTGCACTGGTAGATAAGTGTGAAAGGTCAGTTTGTGTCACATCCTGGTTGATTCATATGCATTATGCTTTATACATTTATTTTTCAGTTCATAGAATCTCTCTGTCACAATTAGCATACCTTAATGGTTAATCATTTGTCTGGCTTCTTGACAGATGCAGTTCAAGAAAGATTAAACCTATGGCTTGTAAAGACTCAGAGCTTTTTGAATGGAGTTGCTTCTCCCATTGTAAAACCTGGGCAGGTTAGAAAGCCTGATATCAAAAATGCAATAGATACTCAAGAAATTGAAGAAATCTTTATGGCAGAGCAAACTATTGACAGTAGAACACCAAATGGAAATCTTTCATTAGCTGCTATTGTTTCCATTGAGCAGTTTAGCAGGTAAAGAGGTGTATATGGTAGTAATGCATGTTTTTAAGGTAAATGTTGTTTTTCTACACGTTGAATGACCTCCTACCCTGTCATTTTTGTGTTTATTGGGTATTTATTGTTTTTTCCATTTTATCAACATGACTTTTTCTAGGAGAAAAGAAAGATGTATTATTATTATTATTATTATTATTATTATCATCATCATCAAAGACTAACCTTTGGCCATGCCATCATTACTTCTTTATAATTTTTAACTTTGTAGTTGTGTCTTATCAGCGAGTTAAGCATGTTCTTTGGCTGAGTTAGGTCTCTGTGTTTATCAGGCTGTGGCCTGCAAATGTATCTTCTTTTAGTCAAATCTCTTTTATCTTTACTATTATAAAGATTACTATCAATTATTTCTTCTATGTGAGACAAACCTTAGCCTATATTTCAAATACTATTGACTACTGAAACTCATCCACCATCTGCAATCCTGAGTCCTGACAAGAGGTCTCCTGGAAACTACCTCCTTGGTCTGTCACTAGGTTTATTCAACATTTTTAATATTATCTGTGAAGATATTGGGGCAGGCATAGGAATGGGTTCTTATGGTGTTGCTCTTTAGTAAATGCACTTGTGGCTGTGGGTATTGACCTTCATGGATGTGGTGCTGAAATGGCTGAAGAAGATAAATTTTCTGGAACTATCTTGGCTATTGAGGTAAGTTCTGATTTTTGTGGTGATACTATATTTGGTGTTAGAAGAAATGTAAACCAGCACCAATTTTGAATTTAGAGAAGAAATAAAAGAAGGAAGAAGTTTAGGATGAAGAAGAAAGAGGAAGAAAAGGCAGGAGGAAGAGAGGTTGATCATATCTCTCTTCAGTCCCTTAATCATCATTTATTTGTATAGATTCTAATTTAATGTACAATTACAAGGGTGCCCTTGGTAGGGCAGCTAAACTGATAACAGTAACATAAAAAGAAAATAGGCCCACAATTAAGGTCCATTAGCTAATAAACAAAAGGAACTAGTAGACCCAACTAAGGCCCATTCGTCCCATCATCTCTACACTCCCCCTCAAACTAAGCATAGACTTTAATTTGACTCATCTTGCTTACTTAGTTCTGTAATTATGTCTTACAAACACCCTTGGTCAAAACATTTGCTAACTGCTCCTCTAAAGCAATGAAAGGGAGGTAGACTTTCTTTGTAACTACCCTTTCTTGTATGAAATGTCTGTCTACACCAAAATTCTTCATTCTATCATGTTGAACTGGGTTATAAGCAAATTTGATGGCTACACCAATATGCAATGGCCCTGTACTTTGCCTCAACTGAGGATTTAGCTATAACAGATTGATTTTTACTTCTCCATGAAATAACATTCTCAACAACTAGAGCACAGTACCCCAATGAGGATCACCTGTCATCAATACTACCTGCCTAGTCAGAATTTGTATAAGCTTCTAAGTTCATTTGCCCATGTTGAGCAAAGAAAATGCCCTTCCCAGGTGTGCCTTTCAGATAGCATAAAATCCCCTCCGCAGAAGCCATATGTGTGTCTCTAGGGGCATGCATAAATTGATTGATTACACTCACCACATATGAGATATCAGGTTGTGTCATACAAAGGTATAGAAGCATTCCCAAAAGTCTCGGGGTTAAAATAAGGATTGCACTTTTTGTGTTTTTTCTTATTGGGTAGTTTCTCATCATCACGATTGATTGTAATCATTGTTTTTATTTTAATGATTTTTTTTATTTATTATCAAAAAACGTCATGAATGCATGCTTTTAAGCTATAATAATTATATATGAACTCCACACTTCCTTATCCATGAGCAAATTCATTGATCAGATTAGATAATTGTGAATAATTTGTGATAGTGTCTTGGGCAGGCCAAAAGTTTCCTTCATTACTTCTAAGACACTGAAGCTAGTTTTTCCTGTTTCTCAGATTTGTTAAAAATTTATTATCTGATTTTTGAAGTTGTGACATGCAGGATGAATGGATTGACTGGGAGGAAAATGCAGAAAATATTTGAAGCACTTGTTCCCGAATCTGTACAAAATGATGCCCGCAATTTAGTGGAGTATTGTTGCTTCAGGTTCCTGTCAAGAGATAGTTCTGATATTCATCCTTGCTTGAAGGTTTGTAAGTCATTGAACTTGAAATAAATTACTTCTAATTTTTTATATATTTCTGATCAGAAAAAGTATTCTGAGGGTTTTATTAAGATGAAGTAAAGATAGTTGATGGCAACCTACCATTCCATTTTACTCAAATGGAGGAGGACCAGTACAAACAGCCAAAGCTGCTACTCACTAGAACATTTGGTGTATAGTTGTATTACAAGTTTACCCCTGGGCAGGTTCCTCCCCATATGCAACAATTGCAACAATTTTATTTATGTTTCTCTGTTTTATTTTCTTACTAAAATAATCTATTTGCTACAGTTCCATGGTGTTTGTGTGTGTGTGTGGGGGGGGGGGGGTGAGTTAATGGCATCCTATTTTCTTCTGAGAAAAGAGAAAGGGGGTATAAAATGAGAAAGTTTGATAGTGTTGATCTTTTACGGGATATTACTTTTCAATTCAAGCTTTAGGTTGTTTAATATTCTGGCACTTGTACAACTTTTCTTATGTTAACTGTGTTCAACTTAATCAAATTTTACTGTTTTTTTTTCATTTTCTTGTGATTGAATTGAATGTGTAAAAACATGTTTCAAAACTTTAATTTCTCATTCTAAGAATAGTTACCAAAAAGATGAAAGCATAAAATATTTGACTCAGTTTGGTTTTTACAATTCCTAGATTGACAAAATGAGCCTCATATAAGGGTTTTCTTGCTTTCTGCTCCATGAYCCTGATCGATTTGTAAGTTTGATCATAAAATGATCAAGGCCTAGAGTGGTATTACTGTACTAGTAGCCGTTGAAGTTATAAAAAAGGGAACAAACATATTGAAATCCACCATCCCACAGTTACACTCAAGGATCATTTTACCTGGTTCTTACCTTTGATATTTATACGTCCTTGTTGAACATATTTGGTTTGTCCACAGGAGCCTGCATTCCAGAAGCTTCTTTTCTTAACCATGATTGCATGGGAGCATCCTTACAGTGAAGGTGTTGTTTCACATGTCAATACTTCAGGGAGTGCTTCCTTGCAGGTTTGATAGTTCTCTATGGCCTCGTCTGAGTTATTGTTTCAGCAATTTGCATTAGTACATTGTTTGATTGATTCAGTACATCTAATTTTTTCTGTATAGAATTCATAGGTATTTTTATTCATAAATAGGACTGGGATTAAATTACTGATGATTCATTTGACCCTTTTGTTTGAGAATTGCGAAGTACTAATAATACTTGTAGTATTGTATTGTATGGTTTTAAAAGGAAAAGGCAGGGGCAAGGCGGCTGGGTGCCGAAGAGGCAAGGAGTAAATTCTATTTCCTGGGTGTCGACTGTCACTTTTTGATACACCCAACATTTGCCGTCTTCTTCTCTTCTCTATCTCTCAATCTGAATTTGACATGGTATCAGAGCAGGTCATGATCTGATCTGCTAGAAGAACATTTGGATCTACTGTTATTTAGGATTGTTCTGATCAGTATTTGGGGGAATCTTTTTGTGCTTCTGTTTTCCTCTGCTTAGGCTGTTTCGATCAGTTCTTGACAGTCCTGCTCCTGGAATTCTGGACCATTAGCTTTGGTCTCTACTCTAGATCTCCTCAGAAGAAGTATCAGATCTGCATGGAACTTTAGATTTGGTATTTCTTTACTGTTTACTGTTTTAGTTGAATCTTGACACTCTCCCAAAGGTTACCTTTAATTGGCTGAAAGGTGTTTACCTTTCTCTCTTCCATTGAGGGGCCATTATTTGTTGTTTGGAGTTTCACASTACCGTCTCGTTACCTAATGGCTTCAGATAGAACAAATGTCCTTCCCATCAAGTTTAATGGGTCCAACTATGCTTTATGGAAGTTTCACTTCTAATTCCATGTTGAGGCAAAGGATCTTTGGGGATATTTGGATGGAACAACTTCTAAACCTGATGATTCAGATGCTAAGGCATTGAAAAAATGGAAATTGATAATGCAAAAATTGCCTCATGGATCCTTGGATCAGTTGAAGTGGATATTGCAATTCTTATGAGAGGGTATGGAATTGCTTATGGGATGTATCAATATCTAGAGAAGGTTTATCAACAATCAAACCTCTAGACTGAGTATTTTCTTATCATCAAGGAGAAAGGGAAACTCATGAATACTATGCAAGGTTCATTAACCTCTAGACTGAGTATGAGCTGGTACATATGGGAGTAGATTACTCAGATTGTTGTGTGAAGTTTATGAAGGCACATTTTGATAGAAGAAAGATGATGCATTTCCTAATGCACCTTAGACCATAATTTGAAGTTGTTAGGTCTAACATTCTTAGTAGAGAGACTCTTCCAGACCTAGACACTATTCTTGGGGAGCTGTTAAGAGAAGAAGCCAGGCTTATCACTCAGACTACACTTGATGGGAAGAGGGACTCCAACATAAATGATGTTTTCCTCGCAACAAAGACAAAGGGGAAGAAAGATTTTTCTCGGGTACAATGTTATGAATGTAAAGAATTTGGCCATATTGTCTCACACTGCAAGAAAAAGAGCACTTGCACTTATAGTAAGCAATAGGGACATATCATTATAGAGGGCCCTAATTGAACTCCAAAGGGAGCTGGGTCCAATCAGGAGAAGGGGTCTCATATGGCCTTATCAGACTTCTATAGAGGGTTCAAATGCCACTTCTTCTACTGCTCACCCGATCCTGATGCTACAGAGTGATACGATTGGAAGTATGTCAAAGGAGAATGATGTAATCTTAGTTATGTGCTGCAGGGGCACTTTTGTCATTTTAACCTTTTAATTTTTATTTAGTCGCCCTAACATATAAATACAAATCTTGGCACCGCCAGCTTAAGTTTTTGGTCTAAATCTTCTCGCCTCTTCCTTCTCTCCTCTCTTCTTCTTCTTCTCTTCCCCTCCTCTCATCTCTTGATCGTGATCTTTCTTCCTTGCCGAAATCAGAGAAAATTCAACAGCTTATGTCCTTGGCTATCTCTTCTGCTTTCTCAGCTATTGGTTTGTCTAGTAAGACTGCTCCCTTTTGTCCTTYGTTAAACCATCTTTGGATCATTGATTCAAGGGTCTCGAATCACATGACAGGGGCCTCTTTTGGTCAGTCTTCTAAACCCCACTCCTATAATAGACACATTGTTCCTACTAATGGTGAGAAGTTTGAACTTTTAGTTGTGATGATCTGCATCTATCTACTTCTCAGTCATCTTATTTTCTCCTACCCAAAGCCTTATTTGTACCTAAATTGACTACCAATTCAATTTTTGTTGGACAACTTGTGGAAGATGGTAATACTATTTTTCTTTCTTCTAATGGTTGTGTAATATAGGACCAACAAACTAGGGACATGAAGGGGAAGAGGCTTAGACTGGGTTGGCTGTTTGCTTTGGAATTCAAGAAGAAGAAGGCTCCACCCACATCGACTTCTTGTTTACTTTCTATTACTTGTTTTGAGACTATTAATTGTAATAATTCTTACCACTAATGGTGTAGATGCTTTGGTCATCCTTTTTCTAAGAACTTGATTACTTTGTTTACTTTTGGTAGTTTATCAATGTCTATTGCTTCTCTCAAGGACATTAATAAAGCTTACATTACTTGTTGCCTATGTAAGAGTCATGTTTTACCTTTTCCTTCTCATTCTGAACATGCAATAGTCCCATGCCGGGCCGGCACGACATGACCTGCCTGTGGCCTGCGCAAAGTGTGGGGTCATGCTGTGCCAGCCTGCRGTCCATCCTAGGCCGTGCTGCTCTCCCCAGGGATAATTTAGGGGGTCAGCCTAGCCCATGGCCTAAGCCCGTGCGGGCCCATGCTGTTCCGTGCTACGGGCTTGGGCCAGGCTGGGCCACAGGTCGGGCCTTGGGCGTGGGCCGAACCGGGCCAGACTGTCTTTTTGTTTTTT